CTTGGTGGCTCAGTGGTGAAGAATCCGCCTGTAATACAAGAGACGTGGATTTGATCACAAGATTGGGGAGATCCCCGGGAGAAGAGAGTGGCAGCCCACTGCAGTATTCTTGCCTGGGAAATCCCACGGACAGAGGAGCCTGGCAGGCTACAGTCCACCGGGTCACAAAGAGTCAGACGCAGCTTAGAGACTAAACCACCACCACCTTGTCCAATGTACATATAAAAGGAAATCTCAGATGAGTGAAGCTTAAACTGACACCAAAGGGACAGAATGTGTTTAAAGAAAGAAATAGGGAAAAGTATGGGGACAAAGAGTTACCTGGGGAAGGTTTTCAAGTAGAAAAATTATATATGCTACTGTGCATTGATAATGAGATGTCTAGTATAGGAGGCTTGCTGGAATGTATGTGATGAGCCTGAAAATATAAGTGGTGACCTGATTCTATACAACTCTGATGTCACATTAAGAAGAGGATTTTTTCTTAAGAGCCTTTAAAAGTTGTGAAAATGTAATGGATGTGATCATGTGTGCACTTTAGCAAACTCACAATACCACAGTAGAGAGATTAAAAGAGAAATCAGAAGACAAGTTTAAATAGAATACTCTTGAAGTAGTTAAGGAAGAGATAAGACACCCTCAACTAGGACAGCGGTGACAGGAAAAATAAATGCAGGTGATGTTACAGATCATTGTAGCGTAATGACTATATGTAGGTTCTGTCGCCGCTGCTGCTAAGTCTCTTCAGTCGTGTCCGACTCTGTGCGACCCCACAGACGGCAGCCCACCAGGCTCCTCTGTCCCTGGGATTCTCCAGGCAAGAACACTGGAGTGGGTTGCCATTTCCTTCTAGAGTCAGATATACAGGATTCACACTCTGAACTTACCTACCACAATAAATGTGTCATTCCAAAGCCTACCACAGGCACCATCATGTCATCTTTATTTAATACAGTATTCCTTAACTATTTTATAAGACTGTGCAAAGTACATTGTAGTATTCAGTATCTTCCTGTAGAACTGAAATAATTTGTTATAGATATTTATGTCATGAATGTGAACTCTATCATATCAAACACAGTAGTAATTCTGAATCTACTGATGTTCCAGAATAACTGTCTAAGTCACTCTGCATGTTAATGTAAAAAGAATTCAGGTCTAATCCAGGCTATAACTAGCTCAGTGAATTCTCATTTCTGCTTTTCAGCTCATATACAGAAATGAATATTTGGGTTCTAGCCAACTACATTTCTGTTTTTCCCCATGGAGATTTGAGCCTTTGTATCCTAAACTTAGATCTGCAAAGCACATACTATATCAAAAGTCTACCTATTATATTTTTTTTTTCTTTAAAAAAAACTTACCACTATCCCACTCCCAGCTCTTGTCATTTTAACCAGATTCTTTTCAGTTCATGTTTATTTCTCTTCACCCTATTTTTGTTTGGAGCTCTAGGTAATACACATATTGCTGCATGTTCTTGTTTTGGCTTACTGCTCAAGCCACAGTGAAAATGTGGCTCTCAGTTTTTAGTTGTGTATGTGTGTGTGTGTGTGTGTGTGTGTGTGTTCTAGAATAGGGGCTAATGAGAAAAAAAAATAGACTCAATTTGGATTTGCTTTACTTTTTTACATTTATGGAACTGTTTCAGTTCCCTTTATCTCACATATATAAATCCTTTACTATAAAGAACACCTCCAATTTTTTTTGTCACTTGTAATAAAGCACAGGACAAAATCCAAGACAGAAACTAAGAATTAGCCAAAAATAGGTAAACACTGTTTAATTTTACTTTTTTTATACTTGCTAAGGGATATACAAACCTCAGACACACATAAGCAAGTGTCACAACATTTATATAATTTGAGAAGAGTAAAAAATTACTTTTTCCAGGTGGGAAGGGGAGAAACCTAGAGGGGTAGGATAGGGTAGGAGTTTGAAGGGAGTTTCAAAAGGGAGGGGACAAACATTTACCTATGGCTAATCCATGTTGATATATGGAAGAAATCAGCTACAACAATATTGTAATTATCCCTCAATTAAAATAACAACTTTCCAAGACCAAAAAAAGAAAAAAGACATTCCTAAGATTCTTTGTTGCTGTGCTAGACTCTGATGAAAGGGTTTTTTTTCTCCAAAATGTTTTATTTGAGAGAAAAGAAAATATTTTAGTACCCCCAAATACACAGGGTGAAAGAAATGGTATCACTGAGCAAAAATGAATTACTCTACAAACCCCCAAAAGAGCCTTTTACAAGTTGAAGAGGGTACAGTACCAATTATACTATTATCTCACCCTACTCTCTGGGTGAATAGTCTGAAAGCCTAAAATTACAGTTGATGTTCAATTTCTTGGCTTCATTTGCAAATTGGAGTCATTTTCTTTTTTTTTTTTGTGAATGCCATAAACACATGTTATATTGTTTAAGAGTAGCAGCCCTTAGTTTGTTATGATATTTTTCTCTTTTTTTTGTCCTCCATGTCAAAGGACCTTTTTTTTTTTTCTGTCTTAATTTGGCTTGTTGCAAATTGATGTAATACTGTGTTTCTGAATGATTTGCAGTGGTCTTAAGTGCCATTTGAGCGGAGGCTTTTTGGCTTATGATTTGTGAGGAGACCATTCTGGAGAAGGTCCTCCAACTGGCCAGATGTGTCATTTTGGAACAGATTGAGGGCCTGCCAAAACACCATTTGCTGCCAGTACCGGATATTGTAGGGGTGCTCACCACCCTGTTACCATATTTTTGCAGGTCTTAACATTGCATAAATAGGCAGCTGTTCTCTATTTAGAATATAAATGAATCACCAGCTTGCTCTCCCTAGAGGATTTACCTGCAGTAGGGAACCACAGTGTTAACCCCTTCTTCCCCTCCTGTTGGAACATCACATTTATGCACACTTCTCTCAGCCCATTCAGAAGCAAACCCCTATGCATATAAATCGCATCTTTCTTGCCAGTTAGACAAGAGAGCTCAAAAAATATGCAGTTCACTCTGCTCAAATTGAACACATTTCCACAGCAGCTAAAGCAGTAAATTAATCAGCTTATAAACTGAGAGTGAGCAATTTGTGCTCACTTTTTTCTTATGGTTCCTTCAATAGGAGACAAGGTTCTCTGATCTCATAAAAGGCCATGACTTCATTAAGATAGAAAACCATGTTGTTGCAAGAGACAAGAAAAGAAAAGCCCTAAAAGTCACTCAGTTTTCTCTCTGGACCTATTTTCAGGACAGGGGATTTTTATTTATTTGGAGAAGGACAATTAACCTGGAGACTTAGCCCAACAAAGAAGCAGAGTGCTGAAGTGGGTCTCATTATGGAACATCAAAGGCAGTTGGTTTGACCTAATCCATGTTTGCAGCAGATGATTTACATAACAAGCTAGCACAAGCTGCCCAATTTTGATTTCAAATAACTTGACCAGTTTCAAATAGCTTGACCAATTTACATATATAAAATGTATGTGTGTGTACATGCATACACATACACATACATATGCACACAGGCATTTGTGTGAATGTGTGATTGTTCTAGCCCAAAGTATATTGGGAAAAAAACTTGTCAGTGTTAGAATATTAAAGAATAGAAAATTTCAAAGCAGTTATAAAAAGCGGAGGCTGTTGTCTTATATGGTATACTGCCCAATTTTGATTTCAAATAACTTGACCAGTTTCAAATAGCTTGACCAATTTACATATATAAAATGTATGTGTGTGTACATGCATACACATATACATATGCACACATGTATTTGTGTGAATGTGTGATTGTTCTAGCCCAAAGTATATTGGGAAAAAAACTTGTCAGTGTTAGAATATTAAAGAATAGAAAATTTCAAAGCAGTTATAAAAAGCGGAGGCTGTTGTCTTATATGGTATATTAGCTGCTTTCAACTATATTTTCATTGAAGTATTGTTGACTTACACTATCACATTAGTTTCAGGTGTACAATGTAGTGATTCAATATTTTTATAGATTACACATGATACAAAATTATTATAAAACATGGACTATATTCCCTCTGCTGTCTGTTATTTTCTTTTAACTGATTTATTTTATAACTGGTAGGTTGTACCCCTTCATCTCCTTCACCGGTTTTCTCAAATACTTCTTTGAATGTTTACCCTAAAATAGATATAGTCCTTATTTGCTAAATAAATCAGCATTCTGCAATCTGATAGAAGGGAGTCATTTCTCCAGGCTTTTCATCTTGCCAGGGGAAGAAAAGTACAGAGATAGATAGGTGACATTTGGAGAGCCAGGCATGCCAGATTTTCGGAGGTTACAACGGAGGTCCAACCTGCTGTTCTCCTAATGAAAGGAGGGGAAATTCAGACTGGCAAAGCTGCTATAAGGGATATCTCTGCTCCGAATGTCACGCTGCCCAGATGTCGCTCGGCAGGTGGAGATGCAGACAGAATGAAAATGTAGTCCTGTGTATGTGGGTGCTAGTGCGTTACAAGGGTGAACAATGAATCTATCTTTGGAAGTGTAATGAGAACAGTGTGGATCCTGTCCATATTCATGTCACCAGAAAGCGTTTCTCAGATCTCACTCCACTTCCCCTCCCTGACTGATGTGCATACATGCTCCCAGACTGTGTGCATATGACATGTTTCAGGGCTTTAAGTTTAACAAGCATGGCAATTAATGTTAATGTATTTATATACATGTATGTATACATATATGCTTTTTGAATAGAAAAATGGAATCATATTACCTAAACAGTTTTGTACCTTGAGTTTGTATAAAATCTCAGAACTGCATCATGAGAGTTTCTCATCTTATTTTCCTCCAGCTTATCTCATTTTAAACTCAGATTTTATAGAAGAGATTCATAATCATATAACTAGTCACTTCTCTGTTGATGAGCACTCAGGTTGGCTCTGACATATTTTAAGAAGGGCATGTTTAAGACTTGAAGTTGCCTTTTGCAAGAGAAACCTAAAGTTACTATCACTGAATTTTCTTTTACTGCAATTGTTTTTCTTCAGTGTTACGAGATGACTTCCGGCAAAATCCCACAGATGTTGTAGTGGCAGCCGGAGAGCCTGCAATCCTGGAGTGCCAGCCTCCCCGGGGACACCCAGAACCTACTATCTACTGGAAAAAAGACAAAATTCGAATTGATGACAAGGAAGAAAGAATAAGTGTGAGTAAAATTAGAGTGGATGCCCAGAGGGGTTGGATACCAAGCTTTAAAATGGATGTATTTTATATATATTATTTGTATTATTTTTATTTATATTATTTGTTATTTATCATTAATAAAGTTATATAACTCTATTTGAGTGCTAATTACTACTTATACTATATTGAAAAGACTGAAAAAGGATACCCAAATGAAAACTTTGGAGTGAGGCTTCAAAGAGACAAAAATTATATAAATAAAGTGCATATGCTATATTAATAACTGGACCAATCTGAATATGTAAATATATCTTTTTAGTAGAATATTGATGTCAAAAGCTCTTTTTAGGAACTCCAGATGCATTTATTGATCATGCAGTACATAAGTGTCAAAGTGTAAATGATGACCATAAACTGTATTAACTAAAACATTTCTTTTCATACTACTTTCAAAATTATAAAAGGAAATAATTTGTGTTGATGAATATTTCAAGCTCTTTTCCAGTTTTTCCAATGTAATATTTATAACTAAAATATTATGAGAATTCATTTCAAAGTTTAAGAGATGTAGAGTAAAATCAATGCTAAAATAACTGCCAAGTTCTGCAGTTTAACCCTTACAGAAAAATAATCTGTTTTCAAGGGAAATTGATCATCATTAATCAGTTGATTAATATCAAGACAAAACACCCAGAAAATGGTAAAAAGTTAGAGAAATGGTATACAGACTTTTTTTTCAGAGGATCTACTCAACATTAGTATGTGGAGTTTGTGAGAGCTGGTCACTGAAATAGTAGATAATGCCTCAAACTTCTGACATTGTTCTTAGTACAATTTTTGTACTTAGTACAATAATGAAGAATAAATATATTTTATTTAAAATAATGCATCATTTAACAGAACAAATGTACCATTTCTATTAAAATGTCCATATAGTCTGGGTGTCTATTATCTTTAAATATATAAGTGAGATTTTATTCTTACGTGTACATTGTGATTACATCATAACACAGAACCAGAGAGGCCATGCAAAAGATCACAGCATATTCACATGAATGTTCTGGTTTGAACTGTGGACAGTGGAGATCTACAGTGAAAAATCATTTGGTTCCCAATGGTCTGTGCTTGGCTACCAAACTTAGGAGAATGTGCTTCTGTTAAATATTTTCTTTTTCGTGTTTGTAATCATTAAATTTTTGCTTTGTAACAAATCATCCCACAATACAACCATTGCACTTACTCTGTGATTCTGTGCGTGAGTTGACAGTCATTTGCTCTTGGCCATGTTGGTTGGTCTTTGCTAGGCATCCTCCAACTTCTGTGGCTTGTCTGAAAGTGTTCTGACAGCTGAATGACCTAGGATAACTTTCCCAGACTAACATGTCTGGCCATTGACTACCTCGCAAGCCAACCATCTTGGTTCTTCTCCTCATATCCTCTCATCTTCCAGAGACTAGCTTGGGCTAGGGGCTCCCCAGGTGGCACCAGTAATAAAGAACCTGCCTGCCAATGCAGGAGAAATAAGAGACGTGGGTTTGATTCCTGGGTTGGCAAGATCCCCTGGAGGAGGCCATGACAACCTATTCCAGTATTCTTGCCTGGAGAATTCCATGGACAGAGGAGCCTGGTGAGCTATAGTCCATGGGGTCGCAAAGAGGCAGACACGACTGAAGTGGCTTAGCATGTACCCAGCTTGGGCTCATTCCCATAGTGGCCTCAGGGTTCCAACTGCAGCAAGCAGTCAAGTCCCTATGTGCAGGTACCTTTCTTCTGGTAAAATGCTGCTTTAGTTCCACTGAACAAATCAGATCATACTGTTAGTTTTATCTTCAAGGGGAGGAAAATGGCCTCCATGGTTTGTAACCTATCGTTTATTCTACTGCATTTAGTTGAGAAAAGGTTGACGATCTTTTCTTCCTAAGTATAAAAGACTGTTGAAAATACGTTGTTATGACATGGCTAGTTTTAGAGCCTGAAATATGTCTGATGAAAACATACCTACTTGAGTTTTGTCTGCCTGTGAAATTAAAAAGTAAAGGAAGAAACCAGCATATTCTTATCTCATATCTCTTTTTAAGAGAGATTAAAAAAAAATCTAAATTAGAAAAGAACCTGTAAATTGATGATACACTTACTGAAAAGCTTATTCTGCTGTAGTATCCTCTTAACAAACAATATTTTAACATCACTATATTTTTTTATTCAAACAGAAATGCTTCTTATTTAAGAAACATTTAAGGGGCCACCTATACAAAGCCAAGTTTGTACCAAGTCATACTTATCATTCAAAAAAATTATTTTTTTTTAATTCAACCTCACATTCCTCTTCAAAAGTTGTCTTATAAATACAGTTAAGATGAGACAAAGATAATTTTAATGCTAACAAATACCCCATGAAGACAGAGATTTTTGCTATTTGATTTTCTACTGAATCTCAAGAACCTAGAACACTGCCCAGCCAATAGAAGTACTCAACAAATACTCATTGAATTTTTCTGAGTCAATTGGGTCTCATTATATTATCCAAATAAAATATATAGTGCTTCTTTCTGATGACAGATGTCAATAGAAATTCATTCAACAGAATTTCAGCGTGAAGACCAACCATGAGGTTTAGTGGCAGCAGTCACTAGTCTGGAATAGGATCAGGCAAGAGAAAGACTGCCTTAAAGAAGCATTCTCTAGAAAGAGAATATGGAGGCTTACATGGAAGCAGAATTTAAAAGATGCCAAAAGAGTGGGAGAGTTTTGTGTCTTAGACACTCAACTGTTTCTTTTAGAGAAAAAAATATGTGCTTAATTTTTCAAGATTTTTTATTAATGATCTTTCTTTCTCTGTTTCTTTTCTTTTCCTTTTTCTTTTATTTTCTTTCTTTTTTTTCCCCTCCAATTTTAACAGATCCGTGGTGGAAAACTAATGATCTCCAATACCAGAAAAAGTGATGCTGGGATGTATACCTGTGTGGGCACCAACATGGTGGGAGAGAGAGACAGTGATCCAGCAGAGCTGACTGTCTTTGGTAAAACTCTCTTTTAATTTATAAATTGCTATTTATTATCTACTCTTTCTTCACTTTCAAATATTTTTGCTAATACCAAACACCAGGCCATATATGATGGTTACTTATGACTTATAGTGAGCTGAATAAACTAGAATTGTCTTGTTTTCTGGTTCTTTCAGATGAAATCTTTGATTTGAAGAAAATTAAACTTTTGAAACAATTTACCTGCTTCATTCCTATATACTTATAAGATTTTGCCTTTCATCAAAATGTTAAAAATTACTCTTTCTCAAAATCTGTTGGAGAGTATATCCATACAAAGTTTATCATTCATTCCATTGTGATGCCTTTATCAAATATTTATTATGTGCATGACATGAGGTAAGGCTTTTAAAAATTAGAGAGTACACTGTAAAGTCATTTCACTTGTCTTCTACTTCAAAAAAAAAAAATTCAGATTGAGCTACTTGCAGTTTTAGCTCATGATAAAAAGACTAGCTTGCAAGTTATACAAACGGAATCAAAAATTTAAAAAAGTTAATTAACAAATTTTGCTATGATATTCATGTTTCTTCAACTTTAAGAACCAAGGGCCTCTTTAGATGGAGTAATTTAGTTAACTTTATTTAAAACATGACTAGATCTGTATCACAGAAGTAGTCGAGAAAACATTAGAAAGGAGGAAATTGGAGATGATAAAGATGATGGAATAAACAAAAGTAAGGAAAATATTGCAGGGCAGCTGTGGAAAATTGAAAAAGGAGTATTAAAACAGTGACAGAAAATTGGAGAAAAATGGAGATCCTCAAGATACCGGAAAATGAAACATCTTTTAGAAAATATTGAAACCTTATTCAAGTATCTGTATATTATACGAATACACCCAAACATATTCACATACACATATTTATATATGTGTGTATATATATATATATATATACACATTTATATATAATATATATATATGAATAAAACAGTCACTGTTACAGATACTATGTGATTTTTAAAAATATGAGATAATTGTGAATTTTAGACTACTCTTTTTGCACCAGTAAAATAATCTTCTGGACCTGTGTATAATATAAGATACCACGTCATTCCTCCAGAACACGCAGAGGGCGGCATCAGAATCTGGCATGCCTCCCTAAAGAAAATTCTTTGGCAGCTTGGGATGTGCTGCCCATGGTGTAATGGGAATGCCATGATGCAAAAAAGAGCCATAGTGTGATTTCCATTACATTCAGAGTGTTAGGTGTGCTTTATGAATATGTACCAGAGTTCACACCTCTCTTTTCAATTGCTCTGAGTACCAGGGAATCTCTGGTCATACTCCTTGTGGCTACTAAGTAGCTTCAGTCCCAAATGACAAAACCAGGAGAAATCCCATAGTTCATGAAAGGAATTGATCAGTAAAAACAAAACTGTTTCAAGTGTGCATGTTAATTTCTGTCCTATGGAGTTCAGAGAAGTATCCATTTTTGCCCTTATATTTCATGCAGTCACCTTTAAGAGTCTCAGAATGTGCTTCACTCATAATGAATAAAATACAGTTTTGCCTGCTAAGATATGAAATTAGTGGTCACCAAACACTAACATTGAAAACCCACAGTACAGTTATTCTATTTAAAGAAACACTCATCTCTGTTCTACTGTAGCTACCACCAGCTTCAGAACAGAAAAATGTTGCATTAGAGCAGCATATATTGCCTTCAGAAAAAAACTGAAAATGTTTAGTGTTAATACCCAAGTAATTAGATTTACCAAATGTGACTGTGTTATGACATATTTACCCTTTCTCATCTAAAAACATGATGAGAAATACAGAATATCACTAAATATGTCAGGAATTACAGGAGGGACTTCTAAATTATTTTGAAAACAACTGTAAACCAAAGAGATTAAATTAGTCTACAGGCAGCTCTTCTGGAACAATTGATTTAAGGAGCAGAGAAACATTTATATTGTGGTATAAACTAGTCAGAACAGACCTAAGGGGTTATAGGTATAGTATTAAGTTGTGGGAAAAAGTAAAATTCCATAATTGAAATTGAAAAACAATCCAAACCAAGGAATAAAACATTAAAAGAATCATGATGGCTGAAGTCTATCAAGGTTGTGACTAGTATTGTTTGAGAAAGACCCCTACTGTACCGTGATATCCCAATTCTTAGAGAAAATAAAATAACTAGTGTATTTTGTATAATAAGGGCTTCCCTGGTGGCTCAGAGGGTAAAGTATTTGCCTGCTATGTGGGAGACCCGGGTTTGATCCCTGGGTCAGGATGATCCCCTGGAGAAGGAAATTGCATTGTATAATGAGGTCTTCTTAATTTTATTTTGCTGCTGTATATCCAGTAAAATGTATTCTATTACCAATTTGTATTTCATCTTCGTTCAGTTCAGTTCAGTCACTGAGTCATGTCCAACTATTTGTGACCCCATGGACTACAGCACGCCAGGCCTCCCCGTCTATCACCAACTCCTGGGGTTAACCCAACTCACGTCCATTGAGTCGGTAATGCCATCCATCCACTCATCCTGTGTCATCCCCTTCTCCTTCTGCCTTCAATTTTTCCCAGAGTCAGGGTCTTTTCAAATGAGTCAGCTCGTCGCATCACATGGCCAAAATATTGGAGTTTCAGCTTCAACATCAGTCCTACCAATGAACATTCAGGAATGATATCCCTGAGGATGGACTGCTTGAATCTACTTGGAGTCCAAGGTACTCTCAAGAACCTTCTCCAACAGCACAGTTCAAAAGCATCAATTCTTTGGTACTCAGCTTTCTTTATCATCCAAATCTCACATCCATACATGACCACTGGAAAAACCATAGCGTTGACTAGAAGGACCTTTGTTAGCAAAGTAATGTCTCTGCTTTTTAATATGCTATCTAGGTTGGTCATAACTTTCCTTCTGAGAACTAAGCATCTTTTAATTTCATGGCTGCAATCACCATCTGCAGTGATTTTGGAGCCCAAAAAAATAAAGTCTGACACTGTTTCTCCAATTATTTCCCATGAAGTGATGGGACCAGATGCCATGATCTTAGTTTTCTGAATGTTGAGCTTTAAGCCAACTTTTTCATTCTCCTCTTTCACTTTCATCAACAGGCTTTTTGGTTCCTCTTAACTTTCTGCTATAAGGGTGGTGTCATCTGCATATCTGGCGTTAATGATATTTCTCCCAGAAATCTTGATTCCAGTTTGTGCTTCTTCCAGCTCACTGTTTCTCATGATGTACTCTGCACATAAGTTAAATAAGCAGGGTGACAATATACAGCCTTGACGAACTCCTTTTCCTATTTGGAAACAGTCTGTTGTTCCATGTCCAGTTCTAACTCTTGCTTCCTGACCGGTATATAGGTTTCTCAAGAGGCAGGTCAGGTGGTCTGGTATTCCCATCTCTT